AGGGTGCTGGGCGCAACTCATAAATTGAAAGTAAATGGGAGATAACAAGAAACAGCGCTTAAGAAAGAGGAAAATATTGAACATATTTCTATTGTATATTGTGAGGGGGACAGATTCCAGAGCCTGAAATTGATATGGGTTGATAAGCAGTTGCTGTATTTATGAATTGATCTTCAGAACAATGTTTTTTAATCACAAGAATACAAGAAAGCAGAGGGTTTTTTTTTTTTAAAAGTTGGTATATTTACGAGTACGGATGTTTTATTCTTGTGATGCTCGTTTAAAACCCTATCGATACCACTCTCATGTCCAGCAAATATGAGCTACCTCCAGCAGCTGGTAAGCTCAGTTTAGCATAGAGACTGGAAACTGTGGGACACATGCAGCCTGACTGTCCAAAGGTCACCAAAACCTCTAAAGCTCACTAATTAACACTTTACGTACTTCCTGTTTGTTTTAGCTGTCTTGAAAACCGTAATGTTAAAATGACAATTTGCCATTCATGTGCCAAACTATTTATTAGCCATGTCCAGTTGCCAGGCAACCAACAAAGTGTGGTGTAAAGCAGTTTTTCTATAGGTTCAACAAACAAGATATCATTTTGATTTTAATTAGTGAGCCTTAGAGGTGCTGGTGTCTGAGTCGGGATAGCTTTTTGCAATTTTTATGCTAAACTAGCTCATTATTGCACAAGTAAAACTACCATATATCTCCCTTTACAGTGTCTCAAAATGCTGACGTTAGTTTGCTTTTTGCTGTTTTAATTAATTATGAAATTGAATACGACGTTTTTTTTTTAATGCTAAGTGAGAAAACTTGTGAGAAAACTTTTCGTAACTTATGATGGACATTCATTCATGCTGGTGTTTACTAGACTAAATGATTGGATTTCTTGAAAAACTATTTGATTGGATTGAAAATGAATTTTATTGTACAGTTTATCACCCGCAATATCTGTTCATTCCACTGTACCCACTGATGTATCACATTTAAATTTCATGCTCACTTGCACCTTTGAGTGACACCTAAACCTCTTCTACATGGTTTCAGGAGGTCTTCTCTGCCTGCCTTTGCACATTTAATTTAATACTAATACTAAAAGAAATAGTGTGTAATGCAAAAAAACTGGAGCTGGAACATTACTACATTTACTAATATGATCAAATTGAAGCAGACAACAGTGGATCTGACCAGATCAGTCCCCACAAAAACAATTACAGCACTGTCCTACATTCAAATTAAATAAAAGAGACATCAAAGACACACTAGCTTCCTTAACAGCCCATCTAAGGACTCCTAGAGGTCCCTGAACCTGATTTTGGTAACGTACCGCCGCCTGTCCTCATTCTCCCTCTGTGCCTGATTGTTTGCCCCGTGTGTCACACTCCGTCATTCTTCATAAACATTGATTAGAACTGTCCTGCCCCGATGGAGGACGTCAATACTGAGCCCTTCACACCCACTCACTGACAAAAGACCTTTAAAGGTACTCCCTGCTGTATCGTTGTGACCTAAAGACTACCTGAAAACAGGCAGCACTTTGCAAAGCATCTGCATGATTAAATGTGCAGAGTTCAGCCCTGTCAATTTTGCTGAAAGGCAGAATCATTGATTGTATCGACTACTGAAGCGTTTCAGCGTGCGTGAGTGTGTGAGTTCGCTTTTTTGTGACAGTATCCAAAATCCTCGTAAACGTCAAAGCAACACAGCACCAGTGTTTCTGGGTAATCGGGGAGATAGATTTACTTCACATTCTCTGCTGTTTAAACTACTTCACACTTGCCAAGGCATTTGTTTTACACCCTTACTCATCTTGTCGGACTCTTGGCAAAATTCCTGCCTGGTAAGCCATCTTAAATAAATTCATACTCCTCCACAGGATCACAATGATATGGAGCCGAGCCAATATAGGGGGCCTTTCTCGGGTAAGCATTATAGCCTGGAGTGATTCTGTCATAACATAATTAATATTTAGACTTATTTATCATGTAAACAATGAATTGCAGCAGACCTATTTCCTCTTCACAAAGCTGTTTTGATATCACTCCGTCCCATCTGCACTTCATGCCTGGTTTGTTACAGCTGACATTGCGAAGTCACTCTCTGAAAGCAGCACTGTGCTGCCCTACAGTATATATTGACCTCTCTGAAGCCACGCTCAGTACATTTGATAATGCCTTCCCGCTGCAGAGAGTGTCTGACATTGGATTTTGCTCCCTCCGCTTGCAGTTGCTTTCACTCACGAGGGAGGACACAGCATGTCTGAGCACTGTGTCCAAACTCCAAGGCTGGGAAAAGGAAAAAGGCCATGGACTCCCCACACTCCATTCTTCAAGACATTTGCAGCAACTTTTACATCTGCACATCATCTCCCTTAATGCTTTCAGTCCTTTGCATTATAGAAAAGGTTGTCTGTAAGCAGCTTACTGCTGAGTGATAGCATGGACACACTCCAACTTTCAAGCCAAGCCAACGCAGGGGCAGACAATGCCTTTACGTTTTGAACGAGCCCAGTCGGGCAAACCCTTATTGAACCATTATTGAAGGGAAATGGACTTCAGGAGAGCGCACTCTGATGCATAGTGTATAGACCACTTGATTAGCTGATGTCCACTTTTGTAATGGCTCGAACCTCAGAGCGCTCTGGATTACATTCCCAAGACTTTGCCCTCCTTTGCCCGGCTGTATGGTTGGATAGCGTACCGGAAAGGATGAATGAAAGTAATTGTGTCTTTGTTAAAGTGCTGCAGATTATCTGATCATTGGCTAATGTTGGGTGCCAGGTCAGATGTCTTGTCAGATTCATTGTGAGCCTTTCAGGTAATTGAGGAGCTTGATGTCACTTCAGTTTATTATATGATTAACTGCCTCCAATAAAGGTTGTCATGTGATGGGAGTTTTTTTTGGGAAAAGTCCAGTTCATTTTCTGCACAGAGAATATTAGATGTCTAGTAGCTGGAGCACTTCCAAGGCTTGGATGGACATGAAACTCTCCTGGTGGAGAAGTAGTGGACCTGCACTGAAACATCCAGTCGTCCACTTTCAGATTGTGTTCAATGTACCTCTCTTCCTGGTTTGCTTCCACATTGTGTGGCCCACCGCACATGCTTTGTCACAATACACAGTAATACTTAACATATAACATCTCTCTTAAAACATACATGGTAGTCCTTTCTCTGTTCCAGGTTGCAACTTCAACTTTCTCATTGTGCTGCGTCTCTTCTTCTAAATCACAAAGGCATCTGATTCGTTGTATTAAGAGCTATTTGCCACAAACTGACAGAAAATCTATACTTTAAGATAGTGGACGTAATTAAAACTGGTGGCTGCTTTGAAAGCTGCTTCACTCCCTTTTGTCGTTGTTGTTTCCCCCTTTCTTTGCAAGGCACTCCGTGACACTCTGTTATTTAATAGCGCAGTGTGAATAAATCTGTTATGACTGTTGTGTGTTGATTCCTCAGTCAGGCTCACGATCAGCTGCAGGTGCTGCCCGTCAGACTCTGATACACAATGCAAAGCTCTACGCTGGGTCTCTGCCAATGGTTATGGCCTGCCTACCTATCAACTCCTCAGACAGCTTCTTGGCTCTTGGCGAGAAGTTCTTAATCTACCCTTGAATCCAGCCCTGAATGCAGGAGGCATTATCCGTTTCACTAAAACTTTGGGCATCGCCATCTCACCAGCATGAAACATTTCCTGGCGTTGTCTTGTGCTCTGTTTTAAGCCGTCAGTGTTCTCTTAAGATAAACTCAGTGGTATTCTGGCCATTACACATGGTTTCACAGCTCTGCTGCACATCCTTTAGTAAGACCTGCTTCCTGTCCTCGAGGATCTTCTCAGTCTTAGAACAAATCCAGACACAGAATTATTTCCATCTGTTTAATGCTCCCAACTGCAAGGTTGAAGTAGCAGTGCTAAAAGAGGTGAAAGTGGCCTCTTTGATTTATCTGTTGTTTCTCTGCCTTATCAAAGCAACGGTAATACATCGGTGCAAAATTTAGCCGCGTGAAAGATGGCGTATCACATGCTCTGGAGGGGGAAAAAAAGGCCCGTCTGAGGTCTGGATGTTCAACAGCCACTCTGGAAAAGCAATTTGCAGGTTCAAAGGAGAGCCAGCTCATATCAAGATGTTGAAATGATTCTTCCACTGAAGGGAGAAACCTTTGGACCTTTCTTTCTGTCTGCTGCCACCCTCCATACATTTGGGTGTGTGGAAATTTGACAGATATGTTACCAGTAGGGCAGTAGGTTATATACATAGTGTACACTTTATTTCTATTTAGGCTCAAAAATTGAAGGTTAATTGTGTTCATTGAGTTCAGAGTCAAGAAAACAAGCATAGATTTAAGTTTAAGAACCTTTACCATTATTTTATTATCAAAAGTTTAATCCAGGAACGTCTGGTAAGACTTTATCGCATTGTGACCCTCATATGAGAGGATGCCATTGATTTATCATTAAACTTTCTGTCTGTAGCTGCTGAAATACAAGTGGTGAGAGAGCAACCTATGATTATAATATTTATCCATAGTCATTCTTGAATTAATATAAATTAAAATTAAATTAGGGTTAATGGTTCTAATTATAAGGAATGATAGTTGTTCCTAATTGCAGACCTCCACGAAACTCCTGCAAGGTCTCAGGAGGTCCCTGAACCTTTCTTTGACCACCAGGGCTCTAAACTATAAGCACACTGCAGCGCTTAATTGTATTGCTGGTAATATGTAATTGCTTTTCTTTTTATCTGATTTTAATGTTTGTTCAATCATACAGCTATCTTTTTTTTAAAAAAACTATGGACATAAACCTTAAACCTCATCATCTAATTACCATAATCACTTTGCCATACAATAATTAACTGTATTCAATAACAAAATCTCCCCAGGGAGATTTTTAGCTCGATGTAGGCTCTTGTCAGCCCATGGTTCATCAGGTCTTAATATGTGTGCACAGGGATAGATTATCTGTAGGAAAGCAAAGAGAAACCAGAGAAAAACAAGTCACAGAAAGAAAAAATGAAACTTTATTTGTTTTTATACTTACCAACACTTTAAAATTAAAACCTATGTAATTACTCACAACTAATATAGATCTGCACATAGCAAATAAATCAATCAAAAATAGTTACGAAGTTCTATCACTTTTTTTTCCCAAACTGCAATACACACAAACAAAAGCTTAAAAACAAAAGCAAAAAAAAAAGTCTAGTCATTCTTTTTTTTTCCTGCTGTTGCTGCCACATGGAAAGTGGATAAAATAATAAAAAAGCATTTTTCAACAAGCTACACAGCTCTCCTGCATCTATGTTAATAAGGAAATAACTGAATAAATAATTGCACATCGCACCCTATTATTGCATTAGTTGCAGTTTGTTTCAAAGTCGTAGTATACTCAGCCATATACACAAATGTAAATACAGTTTTCAAACACTGAGTAACACATGAATATTGATGTTATTAAAATCACACTGCCATCACTTACAACTCAATATTCCTGCCTAGCGATCAAATTCATATTAAACAACAAGATCTTTGTCAAATGCACGCGCCAACTGTGCTAATAAAACCTCAGCAATCGTTTGTTATGTTTTTAATTCTTACATATGTGTCCTAATTTGAAGCAGACATTTCAATGGTACACATGCACTGAGAAACAGTTTAAAAGCCGTAATACCCTCGAGGATGTTCTTTAACATCTACAGTGCTGTTGGGAAAGAATGCCCTCTTAGGTATAAGCTAACTGTTCGAAAAAAAGCAAGTTTGCCCAAATAAAACCAACATAATTTCAGTTTGTTCATTTGACAAATGTTCCCACTGACGTACGAGCTATGACAGAGTTCAAAAGAAACACAAATTCATCATTTCAATGCTAGCACTACTACTTCAGTTCACATCAAAATGTAAGAATTATTGCAGAATGATCGTTGACTATGCATGGTTCAGTATAGTGATACAGCATTTGGTCCATTTACATAATCACATTTATGTCATGAAAGTGCTTGAAGTCAAAGGAAATGTTCAGCAGAGTTGGATGAGATTGATTCCACTCTCCCGCTAACTTAGCTTAGCACAAAGAGTGGAAACAAGGGGAAACCGTTAGCCTGACATCAAGAATTTTTCCTTATTTCATTATATTTTAAGCCCTCACAGAGTTTAATCGTCTTTCTTGCTGAGAGATAGCTCTCTTCTAAATATGAAGCGACAGCCAGGAGATGATAGAAAGACTGAAAACAAGGGTAACCTCCAAGCCTCACTGTGGTCATTAGACAATCTAGATGGGTTCTTTAGCTTAACAGAGCCAGCAGGTGTTTCCCCTTGTTTCCAGTCTTTATGCTAAGCTCAGCTAACCAGGTGCTAGTGGACGCTTCGTATTTACTGCGCAGATTTCCCCCCCCCAAAAAATTCAAACTTTTCCTTTAAGCTCAGCGTAGGCTATTGGAAATAAAAACAAAGCAGTGGTACGTATGAAGAAATTGAGACACTAAAAATGCAGAATGTCGCTGCGTTGGACCGTAGGTAACGTGTTTTCGACAATAACATTCAACAGCTGTTTGTATGTGTCAAAACTTAATTGAGCTCAGCTGAAACTCGCAAAATGAGATGACCTAAGCTGTCCAATAGTGTTTAGAGCATCCTTGTGGTTGAAATGCTGAATCGTACCAAATATCATCCACACCTCCCTCTCAAATGAAATACAACAAAACTAACTTAGCTTAAGTGTCATGATCAACAAACAAAAAGTCACATGTGCATCGTCACACCATAAATAAATACATGCTGGTTTTTTTTTTTCTTACTGAAAACCAGTGAAGCAGGAATTGTCATCCAACCTGTCCTTTTTTAAATAAAAACAATTAAGTTGCTGACAATAGTCGTGACAATAAAAAGACATTCAAACCTAATGCGTCAAATCAACCGTATGACAACAAAAACAACATGACAAGATGAACAATCTTGAAAAAGGGACTGAGTGGTCACGTCCGCCCAGACCCCATGGGTTCCCCCCAATGAACCCCTGAACATTCCTTGGCCCAAAAAATACCATTCGGCTTCGTCCAAACGTTTAGGCCTCTTTGCCGCAAAAAAGTCGGCTTCTTTCCCTTGTTTTTTTCACTCAAAAGCCCCAGTTTTTTTTTGTTTTGTTTTTTTGCCAGCAGCCTAGCGAATATTCCCGGAGACAAGGGAAGGAAGCCGAAAAGGTTTGGACGCAACACTTGGCTTTTAAGTCCAACTAATTCCTCCCACATCAGAGGCAGTCCAGAGTAAAGTGTTGAATAGTCTATTGCATGAGCGCCGCGTAGTCGACTAATGTGCTAAGTCACAATAGTCTTTTGTACAAAACAAATACAGTATAATAATAAATTAGTAAACAATCATTTAAAATTTTCAGTTAGTGTTTTAGCCACTGATTTTTCACTAATTCCCATTCATGCATCTATAATCTAATAATCGGTGTTGATAGAAGGAGGCTAAGTCGGAAAGTTTTTCATCTGGGCAGGGATTAGGACTAGACGTGAATGGCCAAAAATGCTGAAAAAGTAGTCGGAAAAAGAACGGGAGCTCAAAGATATAATAATGACATTTGAAGGAACACATACACTGAACAGGTTTACTCAAACACACAACGACACAACACTGAACACATGCAATATAAGCAATAATGTAAGTATAGGAAATTAACATGAGAAGGGAGGCTCTAGGAGTGATACCATTGGCTTAAAAGGGTCATGTGATGCAGCAAAGAGTCATGGGTAGAGATTGGATTTGTAAGTAGACAAAGATGCAAATTAGGACAAAAGCAGAACAGTCCAATTTTTTTTCTTTTCAAAATATATTATCAAAATTTGATAATTTGGCTACATCCCACCACACACTCTGCCGATAGCATCACTGAGCAGCTGTAATATGCAAATAACTACGTTCTACAAAAATGTTCAACCTTTTACTAGTTATACTTTTAAATGATGTTCTATGACGCAGCACTGACAGAGAGAGAAAGATAGAGATAGAGAGAGAGAGAGAGAGAGAGAGAGAGAGAAAGCAATAGATAGAGAGCAAAAGAAAGAAAGATTAACACAAGTTGTTCCTAATAAACATTCAACATGCTTCAACAGTTCTCTAAAAAACCTAATCAACAGAGAATTTCTTTTTAGTTTTTTTGTTGTTTTTTTTAATTTAATCTGGCTCTCTGAAAGAGAAATGAGCGCCCAACCCTCCCTGACGTATAAACAACTGTGAGCCAGGGCAGGGATGGTGGTCAGTGTTTTTTTTCGGAGAGCCAGAGCCAGAGTCCGAAGGGCTTCATCAGGGTTGTCTGCGGTGGTCAGTCATTGGAAAGGGCCAAACGGAGGAGCCAGTCAGGGATCTCAGGATGTGGTCATGGAAGATGGGTCGTTCCACATGGCCGCCACGTCTCTGAACCTGAAGGATGATTGGAAAGTAAGCGCTTAATTTTCTGTTTAAGTATTTGAATGTTTTGTTCTGCACAGAAACAAACGAGATATAAGTTAATTAGGGAAACTTAGAGGCACTGGTAGGTGGATTTTGTTGTCTTTGGACTGAGCCAAGCTAAATGTTTCCCCATATTTCCAGTTTTTATGCTGTCAAACTATATGGAATGGGCAAGGACCAAGACATCCATGTTGTCACAGGACCATGAAAAACGGGTTCTGACCTTGCATTGATGAGGTACTGGGCCAGGCTGATGTTGGCGGGGGTCCCTGTGATGGTGATCTGGCGCTCCGATGACCCTTCCATGGCGTTAGCAATTTTGATCTGCGCCCCAGACATCTGACGGATCTCGTTGATTTTGGTTCCCTGGCGTCCGATTATGCAGCCTATTAGCTGGGAAGAAAATGGGGGCGGGACTTAGGATGGCCAGAACCCTTTTTTTGTTTTGTTTTTAACTGACACTATGTTTGACTCACTGTGATGCATGTGAGCACGACCAGTCACTGTCAGCCTTTCAGCTGACTTTAGTACCTCTTACTTTGGTCCAACAAGTCTTTTCCATTAAGGACATTCACTTTACAAAGCCAACTGCCTTTGGCTGTGCTAGATCTCGATAGCTGCAGCTGAACTGCTGTCAGATTGTATCGCTGCAGAGTCCAACAGGAACCAGTGCTAACGGATAATAAACCAGAGTTTTTCACATTGTGGTCCAACAACATTTATGAATCTGTGCTTTCATGGCAGTTAGTCCCCCCCCACCCCACCCCCGTCGCGCTTTGTTTCTTTCAAACTTAATTTATAATTTATAATTCAAACAATCAATTAAGAATTCAGGATTCTAATCTCTCTGAAAATGGACAAGAAGGAGTTTGTAAATATGATCTCAGTGTCACATTAACCTTCTCTGAAAGGTTGTTTTTTTAAGGCACAAAGGCAGTGTTGGGCAGTATAAAAAATAATTATAATATTCATTTTGTTGTCACCTCCTACTTATTTGAAATCAAACAATCCAATCACAGCTGGAAATATTCACATTTCTTTGATTATTTAACAAACAAATCTGGTTTTAATTATTGTAAGTCTGAACTTTGGTGAGAAAGGACAGCAGAAAATTAATGTCTAATAATAAGTTAAGTAATATTACTCTGGTTCCTGCAGTAGTTGTGACTCAAAGAGAAGCCTGTTCTATCTTAAAATGGACGCCCTGTGAGTGTTTTAATGACAAATCTTTCATTTTTCTAAATTTAATTGTTGTTTGCGGTTTTGTATAGAACTGATCTCTATCATGGACGATGAAACAAAGAAAAAAAAAGCACTTGTCGCAGTAGGAGGTTTTGCACATGATGAAAATGTACTCACATCATTGGGAATGGTGAGTTCATGAGTACTGGCCTGGTTACTGGCATCCAGACCTGCTGCTGAACACAGGAAGCAGACAGGAAGAGAGAGATGGGGAGGGAAGGAAGAGGACATAAAATAGAGTTTGGCACATTGAGGGAAGTGAACAGCATTGATGAACTGTAGTCCTGGAGTTTTCTCATTCTCTTGTCTATTGACCGGTAGCATTTCTGTGTGAATGGGAAGTCTGGCTCGGCCTTGAGCGGAGCCTTTAAACTGTGTAACTATAATGCACTGACAGTCTGAATTCTACCCTCTAATTGAGAAAAAAACAACAACAATCTGAGGCGCCGTTAATAAAAGGATACTAAGGGAAAACCAAAAAAAAAACAACCTCAACATCAACAAGAGCAGACCACCAGCAGGCCATGTCAATGGCAGTGCACCACAGAGACCATTAGGAGGAGAATGACGAGAAGAAGAAAAAGAGAAAAGGACAGAGACAGGAAAAGAAGAGAAAGAGAAAAAAGGAGGAAGAGAATGTGTTTGTCTCTACAGGTAAAAACAAGAGAAGGAGCTTTGGTAAAGAGGGTCGTCGTGTAGGTGGGTACGTACCGGGGAAGGCAGGGGTGGTCTGTCCGAGGGGGGTAAAGGGGGTTTGCTGCATAGCCAACTGGTGGAGCTTGCTCAACTGCTGAGGGGGGGAGGAGGAGGACAGCAGAGCTATGAGGTCATCGTTAAAAAAACACACTCGCACACGCTCGCGCAGACACACACACACAGGTCTGTCTGAAAAATGCTACAAGAGTAAAGAGAGGATCTGAGGAGAAGTAATAACGCAGACAGGCGAAGGACACAGACTGAGAGAGAGAAAGAAAGAAAGAAAGAAAGAAAGAAGCTCATGAGGGACTTGGCCTGAGTTTTGTGACCAATGTGCAGAGGGATTTAACTCAAGCTTTGTTTTCATTTTAAGGACCATTTTAGGGGTTTTTGTGCGTTTCCAAAACATATCATGTTTGTCTTTTAGAGTAATTTCCTTAGTCTGGTTTCAGAGAACATCTCACATTGTTTCAGTGATTCTGTTTCCTCGGTTGGATGAAACAGCCAAACCAATCAGAGCTTTGAAGGTGGGATTAAGAAAGTAATCTCGCTGCGCCAGAGCCACAAAAATGGATGAGACGGTTGTAAATTGGCTTCTAGAAAAATGACTCTTAAATCAGCATATGTATAATATATAAATATATAATGCCAAACGGTATTTTGTAGTAACATAAAAGTGCCACAAGATGGCAGTAGTTACATTTGAGGTCTCCTAAAGTCACGATCCTACAAATGTTTCACAATAAAAGCCTTGTCAGTGGGAATGAGATTATCATTTCCTGTTGTAGAGGTAGTCAATAGATGTCACAATGACCTCCATGTTGACTTTATATTTTAAACCCGGCGCAACAGTGTGGATGCTTTTGTTGAGTTTATGCGTGTCCTCGTGGCAAAATGTGATCTGTAGAAAACCTACTGTAGCTCGAACTACCACAGAAGCAGTTTTGAGTACTTTGCCAGGTGTTTATAAGTTAATAGTGTCACAACCGAGCATTATAAAGTCACAAAACTTTAGAGGTGTGTAGTTGAGATCAAAATGAAAGCCTAATGTGCAGATGGATGTGATCCGAGCTAGGGGTGCTGAAAGTAGGTGGGTAGGAAGTAGGGAAGAGGCTGTTGAGCCCCCTACTCTACACCACTGCCATACATTTATAGTTTGTTCTATATTCACGTCTTACCATGTGTAATGTTTTACAGTCCTTGTATCAAACCAGGGAATAATCCAGAAGCACACATCTATACTAACACAGGGTAAAAGCTGACACTTTTAAATTCAAGAAACGTTTGTCTTCTGGTTTTCTTCCAGCAACAGAGCTTGTGAAAAAACAGCTTTTTGGCAACTGACATTTAAGCCTTGAATGTCACAACTCCTAAGAAAACACCATCAAAGAAGAGTTTTCAAAATGGTCCCTGCTGAGCTACATTATGTTAAAGAAAATGAAGAATACATTTAAAAGGCAACACAATGTCTGCTGTGCTGGAGTGCTTTTATCAAGCCACTTCCAGGTCTTAAGTTTATTTTTTTACATTATACTAAAGTAAAGTGAAACCACCAGCTGCTCGGAAAGAAGGAAATCAATCTAAAATGTTCTTTTTAAGGTTCCTTAAAATATTACGCTGACCAGAAGCTGGTAACTTCTTCAGGCCAAGCCCCATGAGGTTCAATGCCAAACAAAGGGCAGGGAGGCAAGAGTCAGAAAAGTTAGAAGATATAGGAATTACATATCAGAAAAAAAAGCTGTATTAATATTAACAATTAATATTAATATGCGTGGAAAGAGAGTAAAGAGCCTGCGACTCAAAGAGAGACATTTTGGATGTAGCGAGACAATGCCTCGAGGGGTTAGCACTCACATCTGGATGTGGGATGGCGTACTGTCCTTGAATGGTATAAGCCTGCAAACATGAGAAGAAGAGCTTATTGTTATCTCGTTACATCATCGGAACAAGCACACACAAACAAAACATACTGTTTTAAATCAATTTCTGACAAGGTAAAACTGTTGACTCTACATCAGTAAGCCTAAACAAATTATAATCTAAGAAAAATGACATTTCTACAACTCTAGCACTCTATTTCTTTATGTTTTGATCTTTATTTGTAGCTGTATTACAACACAGTCATGCACTATAGACTCCCTGTCATGTTCTCCTGCTATTCATCAATCAGATCCAGTTGAACTAAATCAATAAGGGACAACTCAGACAGTGGGGAGGTGACAGGGAAAGTGTGGAGGAAACCAGAGGAGCGGCCCTGAGAGGAGTCATGTGACGTGACCTATTGGATGTGTGGCCACAGAGGTCAGAACTGAGCTAAACCGGCGCTGTACTCTAACCAGACAACATTCGGTAAGTTTGGAAATTGTTAAGTCGAAAACTCATAATAGACCCCCAGACTGAGGCATTGTGTTGCTTTCTCAATTAATGAACACATAGAAATTTAAAATCTACCAGAATTCAATGGGAATTTTGTTAATTTTAACCATAAATCTTCCTGTTAATGGATGAGAATATATCACTTTAATCATGATCAATCTTACATTCTTGATAAATGGAGAACCCTAGTGCTGTAAGGTAACATGAAACATGCTAATGATAGTGAAATATACATTTTTATAACTGATTTGTTGATTATACAGTCATTTATCTACCAAAATGCCAAGGATTTGTGAGGATTTTCTTTGTCTTATGTGATAGTAAACTGTATATTTGGGGTTTTTAGGTGATTTAAAGTAGATTTTTTTTAACCTTAAAGCTACTTAAAGCAAAATATAAGGGGATAATCTCAAGTGCAGCTGATAAGAGATTTATGATAAAAGATTACACTTATAAGTCATTTTTAAGCAAGAATGCCACTAAAAATCCAGCTTTTTATGAGTTTTGCTGGTCTAACAAGCATTTTTTTACTATCATTTTATAGACCAAAAGATGAATAAATTGATAAAAAAAATCAGCAGATTATCTGATAATAAAAAGGATATATAGCCGCACTGTAGTCAAATATAAGAGCTCTGAGGATTGTTGATGTTTTTGTGTTATTATCCCTCATCTCCTGTCATTCACACCCTGTCCACTAGTGGCCCTTCCTTCCTTTGCAGGTCACATGATCACCTGTCTGCACACCTGCTTCCACTAGCTTCCCCAGTCTGCTCTGCTGTTCACCTGTCACTGTTCACCTGTCGCTGTCCTGCCTCGGTCTGTTTTGATCTTCTTACTGTGTCAGTGAATTTACCTCAACGTGAGCGGGGTGTTATGTCTGCTTTTGGGTCAGTGTAACAGATGTGTTGGCCCAGTTCCTCTATCAAAGTGAAGGTTATTTGTTTTCTCTGTTGGTAAGTTAGCTGGCAGGTGGCAGTCAAATATTATGAACTCCAAGTTTATGAAATTGAGAGAAAAAGAAGTATGTTTTTAGTGATTTTATATATTTTATATCTGTCTTTCATTCATGTCCATTTAGGAGTCCCATCAAAGGGGAACACAAGAGTGTTTTACCGCCTCTGTTCTCATTAATTAAAAGGTAAGTTGGCCAATTTCCCTCCCAAAAAAACAAACAGTTAAGGACTAATGCCGTTTATCCCAGTTCTTGTTTGAGTGGCTGCGGGTGATGGATGACAGTGAGGGTACAGTAAACAGCAAGTGATGGTTTCATGCTAGTCGGGGGGTGGGTGGGGGCAGTGAGGAAGGGAGGAAAAGTGAGAAAAACCTGGTGCGACACTAACAGGCAGTGGCTGGTGCTGCAGTAAGAGGCTGAGGTTGGCTGTGGACGCCCCCAGTGGGTCTGCTCTTACCTGGCCACCTGAAAAAATGACAGGGGTGGAGGCAGGCTTGGGGCGGTAGGGGATGGTGGCACCTTTCGGTGGGGACTGAGGAGAGCAAAGGAGGAGAGAGTGGGGGGAAGAAGAAGAAGAAGGGTGAGATGTGGAGAGTGTTAGAGCAGAAAGAAAGAAACAGAAAGAGAGAAAGAAAGAAAAGTTGCATAAAGTGAGACCAAGAGGGACAGTGCCTTAGGGAAGACAACCTGTGACACTCAAACAAAAGTGCTCTTCACTGTGTGTTCATGCTGACATAAAATGCCCAAATCATGGTTCAGTGCACAACTAAACTTGGATTTACCTGGAACATCACTTTCAACTGGATAATGATGACTCTACATACTCTGTTTTTTAAATATCTTGTGAGGTCCGTATTCTATAGACTTACAGTCATGTCACATATCTCCTAGCATCCATGGCTGGTGCCATCATGAAGGCCCAATGGAGAACTGGCTGTGCAGATAATTAATTATTAAGATTAATCATGCAAGAAACAGAGAGACAAAGTGTGTAGCCCTTTTGATCCAAAGCATTATGAGATGTATGTTGAGGAGAGTCACCTGAGATACCCTGACACCCTGCGAGACAGTAAATTATGTACCTACAAGCCAGTATCACTAGTTTCTGCTTTATTTGTTACTGTAGCTAGTTTGGATTCCAAATGTGTTTGCAGCAAAACAATGAGAAAAAAAACAATCATATGCATCAGTTATCAATTGATATTAGCAGTAGATAACACAGTAGATATACAGCAGATTAAACTCTTAGCTGTGTTAACGTTATAATCCTTAAACCATAACGAACCCTGTCCTTGCTGGTCTGTGTTTTCATTGCTTGCCTTCACACACACTCGAGGGATTCCCGGGAAGTGATTCAGCATGTAACCCACTGTTAGTTTAATATTTATGTCTTTTTAAAATCAAAATAATAGTTTGGCTGCACTGTAAACAGATACAGCCGTGGCAGACTGTTTGCTTTAGTTGTCGCCAGATACAACAGGACTGAAATCTTAAGGATTATAACTGTAACTACTTCTACTATCTTCCATATCAGGCATTTCAATCACAACATATGTTCAGTGTCAACAATGCTTCCTTCATTCACTGATATCCCCTCCCTTCCTTATTGTACCTCAAGCATCACCACACATATCTGTTTGACACACTGGATGATGGCTTCTGGGGCCCCTGAGATTGTCACTGCTCTCTCGGTGGAGTTGGGGAGCATATCACCTGCAACCTGGACCTGAGCTCCTGTGGACTAAAGGTAAGGAGAATATTTATTAAATCTGAATTGAATCATGTGTACAATACACTTTAAACAGAGCACATTTTTGAAAAACTGACACCAGAGCAGCAACAATACCTCTGAGCTTTACACGTTGGGAATTATGCAGGATTTAAAGCTTAAATGGAAACTATATAAGAAAGCTTACATAGGAACTTACGGATGATAAATATGAGATTTGCAACATCTCATGGCTGCACCATCCTCTAAAATCTGGTAATATCTTGACTTGTGGTATTTATAGAGATCAGCGGAATTGTTCTTTGTACCCTACCTCTCTCATTTCTTTGATTTTGGAGCCTCCTTTGCCAATGAGGGAGCCACACTGGCTGGCTGGGACAACGAGCCTCAGGGTAACAGGGGGTTTACTGGTGGCTGGACTGTTGCTCATAGAGTTGATTATATCCTGAAGGGAGGAAAGAAGGTTTTATCAGACAAATGCAGCAGTTGTTGGGTGTATTATATATGAATACAATTATTTTACCATAGTGGAAAATATTTTCCACTTCTTTAAACTTGCAATTACGGATGTTTTTGGCCATTTGGGGGAATCGGAAACAAGTTGTGGCTGCAACATTGACATATCATCACCTTTTTAGTAATCCGTTACGTATTTACACATCCAGCAATTATAGTAACATTATTATTTCTTTGTATATCCAATATTCACTCTCTTTTAGCTCTATTTACTAACTCCGGGGTGGGGTGTCTCTATCTGCTGTTTGGTGGTGAGCTGGTTGTGTGTTGTGTTGTATGAGAGCGGCAAGAGTGAATGAAAACAGTATAGCTGTGGACAGAGGACAGACAGCTAAACAATGAGCTAAAATCTCCTTTAACATTGTCATTTGATGGATTTTTATTGTTGATTATAACAACATTAAATGTCATTTTTGCATGTTTCCATAACACTTTTTGTTTTAATTTGGAAACAAAAGTCATTACCTGACGTTTAAAAGCTGCATTAATTAGGTTTTTTGTTTCATTTTTTTCATAGACTCTCTATGACAAATACAAAATGTGTGTGATGTGATGAAGTAGTGAGTTAAACTTAACTATTATATCTTCTTCTATATTTCAGAAGGAAATATTGTACTTTGTACTCTTCTTCCGTTTAAAACAAATGTAAAAATAAAATAATACACTGTTCTCCAAATTGTAAGTACCCTAGTACCAGTTTATGTGCAGTGTTTTGGAGGCTTGGTGCAACTGAAAGTGTCCTGATACGGCCCCCAAATCAAAACAAAGTACTGGCCCACTTTCAAAGGGTGCTGCAAGGTTAGATCAGCACATTTCTGTCCTACATAACAGGGCCAAGCCTGCTTTGTATTCCATTTGGAAACGAGTCAGTACAGACACTAAAGCATTGTGGTGGAGTGTAACGAAGTACATTTACTCTAGTAACGTGCTTACGTGCAAATCTGAGGTACTTAAGTATTTTCTCATCTCGCCACTTTACACTTAGATAGGCTTATGAAATATGATAATACATAATACATAAATATTCTATCGATTGACTATTTTATTACTATTCTGATTAATGTTCTGCTTTTCTTTGTCATCATTTTAATTCATTTATAATAATTTTGAGGGTTTGTGAAGGTGTCATTATTTTATCAAATCATTTGTTGTTGTCTTAAAAAATAAAAATTAGCTCCAACTCAACCAAAAACAGTAAAATCCTGCTTTTACATTCACACATGGGTCATAATAATCTAATGATAGTATATAATGGTATAACAGTCAAAGTCTTGATTATACTACTTGTGAGTGTTTTTACAGTGTATTAGTAGCACTTTCACTTAATTAAAGGATTTGAATGCTTCCTTCTGTACTGTACTTGTGCACCAGAGTAGAAACTGTAAAAACAGACTTTGTAGTGTTTGATGATGAATGTTATACCTCCTCAAACTTGTAGGCTATCATGGCAAAGGCCTTGAAAATAGCATCTGTTGGCCCGGTGATGGTGACTATCCGTTCAGGGCAATTCCCCTCTGAGATGTTGATACGGGCGCCGCTCTGTAGGGCAAAAAAAGGAGCAAAAGATACATGAATATGACAAAAACACATGTTAGGGAGGAGAAACTATGTTCTAGGAAGCTTCTACGTACATCTTCACGCATTTTCTTCACCGTTTCTCCTTTCTGGAGATAAAGAAAAGAAATGATTATTAAGACACTTTGTGTGTTTCCCACAGGCCTTATGAGGCTTTACATGGTCTGCTTGTTGTGTTTGTGATAAATACCTTTCCTATGATGCTTCCAACCTCCTGCAGAAACACAAAAAAATATATGTTAGGTGTATTTGTGCCACCGGGGGGGGGGGAAATAAATTTTCTTTTGACAGATAATTGGAAACAAAAGCAGAACGGGAAATTAAATGAATTGCCGAGAACCGTTTTGTGTTCGTACCTTGCCGTGCATCAGCAGCCTGATGGTGAGGGTCACATTCAGTCCACCTTCTGATTGGACCTTGATGGGCTCCATGTCGGGATTGGATGTGAAGGAAGGGGCGTGGTCACGTGAGAGAGGAGTTCAAGGGCCAACGCGAGTGTGATGGTGGAGTCAGCCAACCGGTCACCTGCAGAAAATAATAATAATAGTGAATACACGCCTGCTGAGAGAGCAGATAGTGAGCACGGACTGAGCTGTGTCTCCTTGCTTTAGATGTGCATTAAAGCACTTTTAGTTCATATAATATGTATAATATAGTTGACAATAATGTATGTTTATATTCAGCTACCAGGTGACAAAAAGCAGGATGCAACTCTAACTCCTAACTCTAAATATATTCTTTTTAAACTCACTTTAAGCTGATTAGATATTTTAGTCATATGTCGCTTGATAACAGGTTAAGTTTTAAGTGTAGGGCGACCGGAATATATTATGACTGAAGAGCTTATTGTTTTAAAAATGAAAGAAAAAAGGGATTACCAACCGGGGAAATGTACCGGGACGCTGGTTTACTTGAATATTCACCACTAAAGCACACATTAAAAGAAAGGATAAGACTGCTATATATATTTTTTGTTGTTAAAAATCCCATGAAAGAAAAAATGTCCATCTGTCTCTCAATCCGTCTTGACTTCCTATGTGTGGCCCCAAGCCCTTTTGTTTCTACTGAATATATAAATCTAACAAAAACTGGATCACGAATATGCTCAGCAATGTTCTTAAACAGCTGGGCACTGTAGTGTTTAGCAAACGTTTCTTAAGAAGTGGGTTTGTTGGGGACTATTTTCAGCTGCGTATTAATACAATAGCAGGATTGTACATGTGGGATTGAGTCAAAATCAGAGTGTTTCATAATGAAGAAACAGTGTGGCTCCTTTTGGACAAACATTGAGCTGAACTTTTTTTTTTTACGAAATGTATAGAAAGAAGGTCTAAAATCTAGTTTTAGAGAACATGGGGGGCCTGGTGGTATTTGAGTACAGTAAAAGCACAGACAGAGGGAGAAAAGGGGGTTAACTGGGGTCTAACATCTGATCATTGCCCCCAGGGTAAAAAAATCACAGGAATACAAAGGATAAAAATGTAGATATGCTCCAATAATCTTGGTTAGAACTGAGAAAATGAGCTGTGGTCTTCCTGTCTACAAAGCCTGATGTGGTACACAACAGTTGGCAATAAAAGCCATTGAAATGTAGGTCAGCATATGTCTCCTCAGTCACGAGATGAGCCATCAAACGTTGCGCGCCATATTTATTTTTACCGAGCCCATTTCAGCTGGAACGCATCTAATTCTGGCTGACAAGTGATGTAATGACTCAAGACTTCAGTTAGGGGAGTGACCACAGGAGGGCGCTGCAGTCCAGACAGTGGATCTGAGTGCTCCATGCACTGCAGTCAGGGCTGCCTGATCTTTAATCTGCTGCACAGAAGGCACATTTAAAACTTTTCTGTTCATAAATCAATCAGAAATATATTAAAAGCGAACAGGCATTTATATTGTGAGGTTTTTGGGATCTCCCAGCTTTAGTTAATGGCTCTAAATGATGACAAAAACACTAAATATGAATAGATTATGCTTGTATATTAGAAAGGAAATACATTAGAGTGTAGGACTGTGTTTTTTTTAAGTTGAAATAATGATTGTAGATGATAAGCTTAACTTCTAAAATTATGAGAAATAAATGTAGAAAAAAAATAAATAAAAGAATGGGATAGATGAATTGTACCAAGGCATTTAGAGATAACAGGGAGATTAAATTAAGTGTCGGGAGTTAGAAATTGGGGCTGAAAAAGTTAATTACTATATGTTTTTGTGCTGTACCAAGAATACTGAGATGCAGTATACGAACAAGAATCATAAAACATGATCATTTCACACAGAAATCTGTGTGAATCACGTCTGATGCTGAGCTACATGTGTATAAATGTTATAAAACAAATGCATGGAAACACTAAATGTGTTTCTGATCTACACTGCAGCTAAAAGACAGTATGCGGAGAGAAAAAGCTCCTGAAGCAGCTGACCTTGACTGAAGAGACAGATAAAGTCACTGACTGCCAATCAGAGACATTGTTGCTATGTAGAAATGAACTTTCTCCTTCCTCCCTCCCTTGTGGGATTGCTAATTAGCTGCTGGAATATGTAGTCATGGTCTCGGCAGAAGAGAAATGAGAGCGAGCGAGAAGTGAGTCAAACCAAATACATGAAATGATTGAACTGATGGCTCAAACTTGGGTGGATGCAGGTTGGAGGATTGTGAACTGCTTGACCTTGGTGTCACCCTCATCACTGACACAATGGGAGCCTAATTTACCTGCTTAACTCCCATTAAATGCTGTATATGTTGGTGGTTCAGCACTGTGTCGGCCTATGGGGAGACTGTGAGACGGGTGATGATAATTTAGCTGTTTGGACTGCGCAGGTAGAGCTGATAAAGGCTCTGCTGCTACGTTGCATCACAGGAAAACGTTTGAAAGCATCTAGTAAATATATTTATAATGTATGAAACAAGATGCCTAACATGTTAATCTACTGAAGGTCATTCATTAGTTTAAGCTAAATGACAAAATACGATACACGTTTAGGAATATTCTCTTTTTTAACATCAATTATATCAATTATCTTATATATTTTTGGCATTGTGAAGGCCTTTATTGTTGATTTGTGATCTATCTATCAACTTAAATTATGTTTTAACCTCCTGTGTTTGTCCGGCTTACTTTAATGTAAATGCAGCAACAACTAACAACTGCAGATTATTATCTCCAATAATCAATTCATCGTTTTGTCTATAAAGTGTTGGAAGTGAAAAGAAAGAAGAGGAATGTGCGTTCTAATTTCCCAAAGCTGTGACGTCTTCCTTTTGTTAAATTTTCTATGATATAAAAGCAGGAAATCCTCTCTTCAGAGAAGCTGCAACCAGAGAATGACTTGTGGTTTTGTCTCATAAGAGAATTAATTGAATATCAAAATAGTTTCTGATTCATTTTCTGTCAAGCAACAAAAATGTATTTAATAGTGAGTAGGTGGACAACAGCATCCTGAGGGAATATGGTCGACTAACAGTGAAATCAACATGGTCTGACCATCATCATAGACTAAATGTAGATAATTCACTTAATAAATAAACAGAAAAACAAGAGAAATTCAAAACTGCCTTATTGTCGACACTCAGGTTGTAAAAAACATTGTATAATACAGAAAATTAAGATCCTAACTGTTCTATAAGAATATTTTTTATTAACTATAACAGAGGATTTGTACATTGTGAACAGACACCTCTGTCATTTTTCTTTATATGAGACGTCAAACTTAGAGCTGAGAAGGAACGCATGCACGTGGAGTAAAGACAGTTTAGAAGATGTCTGCTAAATGAACCTGGACTCCAGAGGTTTATCAAATATATAAAAATAGTAAGGGTGTAACAGTACTCAAAATTTGATAAAGATTCGGTATGTACCTCGGTTTTGTAACAGTTAAAGCACTCAGATGCTGGCGTACTGTCAATAAGAAAAAGAAATAACACAAATGTCAGCAATGCTCCATCGTAAGAATGATTCCTGAACAGCTGCAGCATGTAAGCCCTTATAGAGCAACATATAAACCATTATAGAGCAACATATAAACCCTTATAGAGCAACATATAAACTCTTATAGAGCAACATATAAACCCTTTATAGAGCAACATATAACCCCTTATAGAGCAGTATGTAAGCCCTTATAGAGCAACATATAAACCTTATAGAGCAACATATAAACCCCTTATAGAGCAACATATAAACCCTTATAGAGCAACATATAAACCTTATAGAGCAGCATATAAACCCCTTATAGAGCAACATATAAACCATTATAGAGCAACATATAAACCCTTATAGAGCAACTTATAAACCCTTATAGAGCAACATATAAACCCTTTATAGAGCAACATATAACCCATTATAGAGCAACATATAAACCCTTATAGAGCAACATATAAACCCTTATAGAGCAGCATATAAACCCTTATAGAGCAGCATATAAACCCTTATAGAGCAGCATATAAACCCTTATAGAGCAACATATAAACCCTTATAGAGCAGCATATAAACCCTTATAGAGCAACATATAAACCCTTATAGAGCAACATATAAACCCCTTATAGAGCAACATATAAACCCCTTATAGAGCAACTTATAAACCCTTATAGAGCAGCATATAAACCCTTATAGAGCAACATATAAACCCTTATAGAGCAGCATATAAACCCTTATAGAGCAACATATAAACCCTTATAGAGCAGCATATAAACCCTTATAGAGCAACATATAAACCCTTATAGAGCAACATATAAACCCCTTATAGAGCAACATATAAACCCCTTATAGAGCAACTTATAAACCCTTATAGAGCAGCATATAAACCCTTATAGAGCAACATATAAACCCTTATAGAGCAGCATATAAACCATTATAGAGCAACATATAAACCATTATAGAGCAACATATAAACCCTTATAGAGCAACACAATGGACTGATTAAAATGCACATTTCAGCTCAAGTGTGGTGTCTAAGGTATACAGAGTCCAGCCCAATTGTCTGTGGGCCGTCACTGATGCAAAATCTGCACCTCTTCTGTGTTTAATGTTCACTTCGTAATGATCCTGGTGAAATGACAATGTTCTGATACTCCTGGCTGGACGGCCAGCTTAAAAAAAAATAATTGGATGGCGTAAGTTAGTATACCCATTTCTCCAGGCACCACAAAACCACTGGCACATCTGCAGCGATAAACACACAGCGATAGCATTCGTTTTTGCGTTGGCATGGTCCGAATCTGCAGTGAGAAGCTCCGTTCTGCTAATTGACAAATGTTTGAAGTGTCAGTGGAACCACAACGCTCCTGTACAGGGGATTTAAATGTCGCGGGAGGATCCTTCAGCTCTGGTTTCGCTACATGAGCTCGACTAACCTGGCTAACTTTCAAAAAAAACTTTCTGGGTAAAACTCTATAATAATTGTTCTGCTTGTGCCAGTTTGGGTTACGGAGTGTACCAAATCGAGGAAGTACCGATAAATTAGTTCTTGATGGCATTTTACAGGTAGGGTAAACAGCAGTTACCAATGGTAATAATTAAGGTTCTGTT